AGAGAGAGATCAGAGGTCAGAGCAACAATTAGTAATTTTTGGAGCTAGCAGACAAAAAATATCAATCATGCTTAAAACCAAACAAATCCATAACATGTCTTAATGTATTGTAGAAATCAGCCAGCACATTAAGTTGTGGTAGTTTATTAATCGTGTTTTTGGTTTAACACTATGTGTGAACTCAGCCAGAAGGCAGAGAAGGAAGAAGAATAAGAGAGCTATGAAGTGGTGGAAACATCTTGAGGAACAAGATGTTTATTGTAGACTGAACAAGCAGTTGGTATCCAATGATTTATGAACTTGTCAAATTTGGTTCAGATGTAAAACATGTTTGAAAAAAACATAAAACACATGTTCAAGAATATATGTATACTATGCTATGTTCAAACAAAACAAAATAAACCTTGACAATATAGATGGACAAGAGACAGGGTGCCACCATATATGGGTTTTCATATATCTATAGGAGACACATGCTTCCAATACAGTATGATAATTGCATCAAGATCTGTTGCAACTTTGTTTTGTCAGAAGTGGGAGGAAAAATTTTTTGGAACTTTTTCCTTCTAACTCTGCTGAGCACCCGAAGAAGCATTAATTCAAGAGTTTGGTCTACATCTCCGGCCTTGTTTTCTCTTATTGGTCAGGCTGCTTATCCCATACTTGCATCAGGATCTCATCCTGTATCCTAACTCTTTCTGAATGAACAACTTTGAGGGGGAAATCCAGGAATACTACTTGGCAAGCACAAGCACTCAATAGATTTGCTGCATTGGATAACCCATCCGAATAAAGTAGCACAAAAATAGTAATAGTTAAGGCAACCAAATTACCCTACACCAAGTCCACTTTCTCAAAGAAAATAAACCAGTGCTGTAATGAAGAATGTTGCCTCCAGGGCCATGTTTCTGAATCCTGACAACTTTAAGATGGATGTATCAAAGCTGGCTGGGGAATTTTGGGAATTGAATTCCACCAATCTTAAAAGCACTAAGCTCGAGAAACACTGCTCCCAAGCTCCTTTTATTGTTTGCCCCCTTGTTTCTTACCTGAACCTTCAGGGAGGACTCCTTCCCCCACCATGTCTATGGAGTTTCTCAGTCAACCAGGTCATAATTATCTCAAAGGTGCTTTTTCACAAGGCAACTGGACTTTCTTGTTTTTGTTTGAAGACATTTCACCTCTCACCCAAGAAGCTTCTTCAACTCTGACTGGATGGTAAGGAATAGAAGGATTTATACTTCTTATAGACAGCTGGTTATGTGCATTCTTTTAGAGAGTCATTGATGCCAGCTGGAGGTTTATCTGTGTTGTCAGGGTCATCTGAATAGTGCAAATGGCTGTGGAGCCTTCTTGGAACTGTTGAAAGGACTGTGTTGTAGACTGAAGATAGATGATGCCATATCCCTTCCTCTCTGTTAAGAGAGGGCTGTTCACTTTTGACATAGTAATAGTAATAGTAGTAAAGTTGGAAGGGACCTTGGAGGTCATCTAGTCCACCCCCCTGCTCAGGCAGGAAACCCTACACCATTTCGGACAAATGGCTGTCCAGTCTCTTCTTAAAAACTTCCAGTGTTGGAGCATTTACTGCTTCTGGAGGCAAGCTGTTCCACTGATTAATTGTTCTCACTGTCAGGAAGTTTCTCCTTAGTTCTAGGTTGCTTCTCTCCTTGATTAGTTTCCACCCGTTGCTTCTTGTCCTGCCTTCAGGTGCTTTGGAAAATAGCTTAATTCCCTCTTCTTTATGGCAGCCCCTGAGATATTGGAATACTGCTATCATGTCCCCCCTTGTCCTTCTCTTCGTTAAACTAGACATACCCAATTCCAGCAACCGTTCCTTCTATGTTTTAGCCTCCAGTCCCCTAATCATCTTTGTTGCTCTTCTCTGTACTTTTTCTAGAGTCTCAACATCTTTTTTACATCGTGGTGACCAAAACTGGATGCAGTATTCCAAGTGTGGCCTTGCCAAGGCATTGTAGAGTGGCATTAATACTTCACGTGATCTTGATTCTATCCCTCTGTTAATGCAGCCTAGCACTGTGTTGGCCTTTTTGGCAGCTGCAGCACACTGCTGGCTCATATTTAGGTGATTGTCTACTAGGATTCCGAGGTCCCTCTCAGAGTTACTACTATTGAGCATGGTGCCACCTATGCTGTACTTGTGCATTTGGTTTTTCTTGCCTAAAAACCACATAGATGGCCTCTTTGACCGCTCTTTCAAACCAGTGGTCCTATCTGTCCAAAATGTGGACTTTGCTCTTTGAAAGAGTGGCCTTTGTTTTTCAAATGCAGATGGACTGCTGAATCTTGTCCTGATGGGTTTGTTTTCCTATGTGTTTGTTCTTGCATGGCACAACATAGGAATTATCAGGATTCTAGAATATCTATTTTTCCTTATAGTTCAAGGGTTTTAAAAGCCTGGCAACACTGGGTTACCTTCTTTGTTTATTGAAGGATGTATATGTGGACCAGGAGGCAAGAGGTAGATGAAAACTAGAGCAATGAATTGATTGAAAATCAATAAACAAGGTGTTCCAAGGTTGTACTGTATATTCTCATCTTATTTATTTAGCTTATATAAGACTAAACTATGAGGAAGGCTGGATAAGAGAAAGGAAAAAATGGAATTTTCATCATACTGATCAACAGCAGATCAATCAGTAATCCATGTGAACAAGCAAACTGACCTTCTGTTCCAATGTAACACAACCTTCCTTATTCTGGCAATCAGAATTCCCAACCTGGTTGGAAAAGGAGACCAGAACTTTTCAGATCTACAAACAGTTCTTCTCTATATTACAGCAAGGTCTATTTTACAGTGCTTTAAATAAGCTCTGCTAATTGTTATACAGGTAATCCTCAAATTAGTCCTACCTGTTATACAGGTAGTCCTCAACATTTCCGTTGTTAAGTGAGACATTTGATAAGTGAGTTTTGCCCCATTTTATGACTTTTCTTGCTACAGTTGTTAAGTGCATCACTGCAGTTGACAAGTTAGTAACCCAGTTGTTAAATGAAACCTGGTTTCCCCCATTGACTTTGCTTGTCAGAAGGTCACAAAAAGTGATCACATGACCTTGGGACACAGCAACGGTCATAAATATGAACCAGTTGCCAAGCATCTGAATTTTGACCACCTGATCTTGGGGATGCTGCAAAGATTTTCACAGTGGAAAACAGTTGTAAGTCACATTTTTTCAGTTCCATTGTAATGTTGAATGGCCACTAAACGAGCTGTTGCAAGTCAGGGACTACCTGTATACCATACCTTTAGCTTAGCAAGCAATATACTAATACTAATATACTAATACAGATAGTCCTTGACATATGACCACAACTGAGCACAAAATTTCTGTTGCTAAGCGAGGCAGTTGTTAAGTGAGTTCTTCCCCATTTTATGACCCTCCTTGCCACTGTTGTTAAGTGAATCACTTCTGTTGTTAAATCAGTTAAATTAACTGAATCTGGCTTCATGATTGACTTCGCTTGTTGGAAGGTCATAAAAGGTAACCATATCACACCAGAGCATTGCAACCGTCATAACTATGAGTCAGTTGTCAAGCATCTGAGTTTGATTACATGACTATGGGGATGCTGCAACAGTCATAAGTGTGAAAAATGATCACGTCCCTTTTTTCAGTGCTGTTGGAACTTTGAACAGGCACTAAATAAACTGTTGTAAGTCAAGGACTACCTGTAGGTCCCCATTTCTGTACAAACCTTTGTATGGCAAGTTTGCTGCCTTCCTCTCTATCTTATTTCACAGGTGTTTGTTATCCCCAGTTTGATATACTCGCCACTTTGAAATTCTCCTTTATTAGATAGCCACTTTCGGTACCATCACTCCTTGGTTTGGCTTTTAGCCCAGAGAAGAGAAGTTGGAGGGGGGCATCCTTTTTGAGTCTTGGAATTTCAGCACCTTGATCAAGATTTTCTTGCAATAGAACTAGAGATTGTTTCTAAAGTTAGAAATGTATCAAAAGACACAATGTGTTCTATTGCTGTAAACTAATTTTAGCTATGTTTCCTTTCTTCATCGCACATCCTTAATTTCTTTGGTTTACTCTTCCTTATTCCTTCTGTGTGCTTGGAATAAGGTTGCATTCCTTGCAACAGAACGGCACGGTGTGTATGTCTATATTTATAGTTGTGCTGCAAAACTCTACATATTCCTCTCTTGCGGTTTTTGAGGGTCATCCAGGTTTTTGCAGTTTGGATAACTAACCTGACAACATGCCACACAATAATAACTGCATGAGAATTTCACGGCCAGAATATAACAAGGTTCGCATATCACCATAATGTGATAGTGTGGGGTTGTGTGAACCGATCTATTATGATTTGCAAAGCATGATTTATGGGTTTTGCATGCTGTGGAAACTCATCTAGTTATGGATATTAGGTATGTTTGCTGCCCTAGGTTGTTTATGAAAATAATAGAGGCAGGCTATTAATAAATAAATAACACATTGATGAAAAAAATAATCAAAAAACTTAAATACTTTATTTTTAACAAGGAAAAAAAATTAAGGTTTTTTTGGATCTCTAATCTGAATGCCAATAATCCACTATTATATTATTTAAAGATAAATCAAGCTACCCTGAAAAGAAAAAAGAATAAATATGACAAAAACATTATAGGGAAAGCTGATTATTATTTTTTAAGTGGTATGTTCTTTCATTGGCAGAAACCTGCCATATCTACCTTGTTCCTTCTTTTTTCCCCCTCCTCCTGAGAATTCCATCAGCCAGAGGGAACACTGATTGGCTCATAAAGTTCTTTACTTCCAGCTCAGCTCCATGTCCTTGAAAGGATGGTGAAATTTTTGAGATGCTACTGTACAGTAACAGTTGGTAGAGGGGTGTTTCTTTGTTTCCCAAAACTGTTGCCTCACAACTCCTCCCTTGCAGAGGATTTACAAACCTTGCAACATGTTGTGAAATCTTGCAGTGCAGTTAATGATATCTGCACCACAAGATCTTTTTAAAAGAAATATGATTTTGTGGCTATCCACAGCACCCACCTCCCATACCCCAAGCCAAGTAAATGAATACAAGTAATGAACTATCCTTACCTTGAATGTGGAGTGTTGGGAGCAAAGTTTGTGTGTGCATGTGTGTGTTTCAGTCCTGTCGGGATATGAGGCAGTTCAGGTAATTTTCACTTCTTGACATTTTTCAGTCAGCTGAAGATAATGGTGGATTGCATTTAGACTTCACTTGAGGGTATTGGGAGCACAAATGTTAATAGTGTCAAAGAAATCTTTCTTCATTCTATCTCTTCTTTTTATTTTTCAGGACAAGTTCACATTGAATATGATTGAGAAATCTTGCAAATAATGTAATTTAAGAGTAACACTGAATTAAGACAGTAAGTCATCTGAGGAATGCACTCTACATTTTGCATGTTCTTTTTTCATGAAAAGATTAAAGCTATGGTGGCTAGTAGATTAGGTAGAATGTTTGCTATCATGCTATAATTTAGCAGTACTGGTGGTAATATAGCTCTAATAACCTTTTACATAAAAATGAGAGGGGGGGGGAAGGAAATGACATTGTCAAAACAATCCCTTTAGCCTACATGTGTTTTTAATGCTTAAGAACAGTTTAAGAACTATTTTGTTAATGTTGGATCTGTGTGAAGAAAATAATAGTGCTCAGTCTTTTTGAGCATCTTAGATAATATGCAGTATTCTATTTCAATCAAAACTCTCCACTCTTAGCCAAATAACAGTTTTTGCATGGGAATTCTTTAGAACCATGTATCGTACCCTCATAACGTCATGCCTCATTGGAAAAGACTCTGATGTTGTGAAAGATTGAAGGCAAAAAGAGAAGGGGAGGGCAGGGGACGAGATGGTTAGATAGTATCATTGATGCAGCGGGCATGAGTTTGGGCATACTCAGGGAAATAGTGGAGCTCAGGGGGGCCTGGTGTGCTATGATCCATGGGATCGCAAAGAGTTGAACATGACTTAGTGACTGAACCACAACAAGACTCTTGCAAGATAGTTTTCACTGAGAGAGAAAGGTTTAGTTAACATATGCTATGCTCTAACATTAGTTTTAGTTTAACAGGTGGGAACTCAGCCAGTTGTTTATTCAATAACCATAATGGCTACTATATCACTTATAGTTACACATTTAAAATTCTTCAAGACAGCTGTATTAAAGTGTGATCCACTAACCCTTGAACCAGCAGCAGAAACACAGGCCAGTCTAAATTATGCTGCCTCTATTGTTTGTCACTATTCTTCAGTGGCTGTCGAAGAGTGATGTCTCACCCACTGTGGGACAAGTGTCGCCTGCTGGCAGAAAAGTAACCACTGATCTCAAATCATGGTTAAGGCTCCATAGGGAAGAGTGTGGTGGAGGAATTCTGGTTAAGCAGCCCAGTTAATTTCCAATAAAATGTAAATCGTCCTGCAGTTACTTTCTTCAGTTGGACATACTAAGGATTTACAATGCTATGAATCAAGTTCCTGATGTTTGTCTATTCTAAATCTAAAGATATGCATTGCCTTTTTGCGAAGCTTTATCCACATGTTTTTAGACAATACAAACAATAGAAACTTCAATATTGTTTTATTCACTGTTCTGTTACCTTTAGCCCTGATTTTTGAGTATGTGTGGCTACTTTAAATATCAGTGCAACTCCTCTTTTTCTATCACTCCTGTTTCCTTTGAGCAAATTCCATGTCTACAGACATCTATTATGCTATATCCCTGTTAAGACATACATATACATAGATATATATTTGATATAACATTCTCACATATCACATATTTTTAATGTGGCAATGTGCTTTGCGAACCTGGCATTTGTAATTTATTCAATAACTGATAGTTGTGCAAACCTCAGCAGAGTATGATGAAGTATATGAGCCAGGTTTTGACAAGATTCACAAAATATACTGAATCATAATTTGCAGAATAGACTACAATAGCTGCCTTCATTACCATCCATTCTTGTTTCTGCTTTATAAATGGGATTTAGAGGAATCACCTTACAATTGCACATCTGCCAAATGTAATGAGAAAAAAAGAAAAAGGAACTGGAATTCTTTTTTCTTTTTTAGGTTCACACAGAGCCCTGAAAAATATTGGGCTGATGTCACAACAAGAAATCCCTGTGATTATCCAACACATCCCTCAGTCTTCTCTGGTACTTCTCTGATCAAACCAAATCCAATATTTCCTCTTGAGTCACAACAGTGCAGAAATCAATTGGCTCAATGGTTGAATAAAGATGCCATAGTATGATGGAAGTGTGGAGTCAATTCAAGAACACTATACATGTAACACGTAGAGATGTATCACCCCTACTTCTACCTCAATATTTAGCTATTTGGCTTCTAAATCTTTGTTGGTGATTGAGAATAATGTGTTCAAAGAAACTTTATATTGCCTTATAGCTGCCTCAAGATTCTCACAGATACTATTGCTTGAGCAGAAATAGATAAGAATGAAATTATAGAAACTTGGATGTATACTTGATGTCCAGAAAGTGATTTCTTTGAAATTTCTTTATAAGAACTTGGAACCTTCTCTTCTTTGTAAGAAAACTTTGTAAGAACTTGGAACCTTTTTTATTGTTATCTCCTATCTGTACATGTAGTCCTCAACATACGACCACAATTAAGCCTAAAATTTCCATTGCTAAGCAAAATAGTTGTTAAATGAGTTTTGCCCCATTTTATGAGTTATCTTGCCACAGTTATTAAGTTAATCACCGCAATTGTTAAGTAACACAATTGTTAAATGAATCTGGCTTCTCCATTGACATTGCTTATCAGAAGGTCATAAAAGGTGACCTTCACAGGATCCTGTGACCATCATAAATATATGTCAGTTGCAAAGCATCCAAATTTTGATCGTGTGACCACAGGGATGGTACAACAGTTGTAAGCGTAAAAAATGGTCATAAGTACTTTTTTCAGTGGTGTACCTTTGCATGGTCACTAAACAAATAGTTATAAGTCAAGAACTACCTTTGTAACAAATAATGAGAGAGATAAAAACATTTCTTACTATTTTTGAAAGCAAAAACAAGAATAGGACTACCATCTGTGGGCTGCAAAAATCCAGCCAATTATCAAATTTAGATACACTTCTAAAGTAAACATTATATCAAGGCATAAAATGCATTTTTCCCTCACACTCTTTAAAAAATAAAAATCTCACAACAAAATGTCATAATTCTGTTAACTAAATGCAGTGCTTTTACCTTGTCATTATTACCATAGAGAATTGCAAAGTGTGCATTCATTACAGTGAAACTTCAGTCTAAAATGTCAAGCTTTCTGTTTTTAATGCGTTTGTCAATGGTAGGTAATTTTAAAACTGAACCATTCAAGAAGCCTTGACCTTTGAGGCTGGTAACAAGATACAATGATTACTTTACTTAGTAATTTAACAGATTCCAGATGTGGAAAAAGTACATTGCATGTTCAAAAAGAACATACTGTAGTAGTTAAAATAATAGGAATATACTATAGTGTTTAATCATAATATAGTACAGCCTTTTCCAATCTGTAACCCCCCAAGTAATTGGACATTTCTGCTCATAATTTCCTCAACCAGTAGGGGGTTTGTTTGCTATAAGATTTGAGACTCCACTATATGAAAATGAGCCATGATGGATCTAAGGATGGCTCAAACCTATCCCAGATTATACCACCAGACTATACCCCAGACACCTCAACTCAATTTGAGTGGCTTCATCCACCAAATAATCTGAATAACCTTCATAATGGCCCATAGATGTTCAAACAGAGAATGGATCACCCTAAACAGAGCCTCTGGTCAGCTAGAAGCAGATGCAAGAAAGATAGAGAAGTTTAGCTGTTTTGCCCTTATAAGTCAGGTAATCCCTAAAATGGGCTCCTACCCATGGTCAGGCAGAGTCATTTTGAGTCTTCTTCCAGCAGTGTTCCAGACTTCTGTTTCATCTCTCTCTTCAGTAAACCAAGATGAACCTCTGGATCTTATGTGGGAGAGACTGCATAAGAATGATGCAATCCAAGGCCCCAGCCACCTGTCCATTAGAGGTAGTGACTAGGGCCTCAGCTAAGATGCCTATCAGATCTTCAAGCTCTCTCTGGAATTTCACTGGGTCCATTAATTGCCTGAGGTGGGCTGATCAAAGGGATCCTGTCTCCTTGCAGGGAGGGGTGAGACCATGAACTAAAAGGCAATCACGACAACATATTACTATTAATATCCTCCACCATCAGATCACATCTCAAGTACCCCATCAGTACCCCAAGACAAAAACCAGACCTAATATGTGTCAGCCATCGATGAATTGGGACAAGTCTATGTGCCAAGATACTAAAATATGTTTAGTAATAACTACAGCAAAAAATAACATGTAGAATTCTTCACTGTGTATAATATTTCATTATGCAATACAGAATCAACCACAAGGAAATTGCACAGAGTTTTGTGAACAAAATAGATTTCAGCAGAATTGCTATCAGACTTGTCTGGCTGATTCTTAAGCTGTTGGAATGCAAGCTGGTTGTAGCATACTGATGAAAGTGAAGGCAATAAACTAGAAAATCTCACGACAGCCTTTAAGACAATTGGCATCTGCTGCAATAACTCCCACCTGAAATGCAATCACAGAGAGCTGATTTCCTGAACCTTGTGCCCTCCAGAAGAGTTTGGAATTAGGAGAGTTGGAGTCCTAACACAATTGGAGAACGCCAGGTTGGGAAAGGTTAATATGTAACTATCGTACTGTCAGTATTTCTAAGGGACATGAAGTACTCTGAATGCTTCAGATAGCATTAAATGGCAGTACTTTTTTTTACTTCAGGACATGTGTAGTTCCTTCTAAGTACAGGTGTCGTACAACCATTTGTGACCATTCAAAATTTCAACAGCACTGAAAAAAGTGACATATGATAGTTTTTCACACTTACGACCTTTGCAGCAACCTCCATGGTCATGTGATCAAAATTCGGCTACTTGACAACTGATTTATATTTATGACAGTTGCAGTGTCCTGGGGTTATGTGATCATCTCTTTGGACCTTCTGACGAGCAAAATCAGTAGGAAGCCCGAGGCGCTTAACAACCGTGTTTCTAACTTTACAACTGCAGTGGTTCACTTAACAATGGTGGCAAGAAAGGTTGTAAAATGGGGCAAAACTCACTTAACAATTGTCTTGCTTAGCACCAGAAATTTTGGGCTCAATTGTGCTCAGACGTTGAGGATGTCCTGTAGAGGTGGCACTTCAAATCTCTGAATCCAATCACAATAGGTGGAGTGAAATAGGAACCCTGCGAGGACAAGAAGCAATGTTGTCTCTCTATTCCCTATGCTTGGAAAATTCAAATTCAGGCTTGTAGGAACTACAGGTAGTCCTCAGCTTATGACCACAATTGGGACCAGAATTTCTTTTGCTAAGCAAGGTGGCTGTTAAGTGAATTGCACCTGATTTTTACAAGCTTTTGCCACAGTTAAGCCAAGGGCTGTAGTTGAAAAGTGAATCACATGGTTGTTAAGCAACTCCAGCTTCCCCTATTGATTTTGCAGGCTGGGAAGGTCACAAATGGTGATCACATGACCTTAGGATGACTCTCATAAATACATACCATTTACCAAGCTCCCAAATTTTGATCACATAACATTGGGGATGGTGCAACAGTTGTAAATATGAGGAGTGATAATAAGTCACTTTTTTCAGTGTCTTTTAACTTCACATAGTTGCTAAACAAATGGTTGTAAATTGGGGACTACCTGTCCTTCATTTCCACCAAGCCTACTTAAGGCTTTCCCTGACTTTATCACTGATTTTTTTCATTTCAAGACTAGCAGAAGCTAACCCAACTGCGATTTTAAATTACTTTCTGAGAGTTATGGGGATGATAATATGGAAGTGTTCTCAGCTCTGTAAAGACAAAGGCAAATGTGAATTAAAAAAAAAGTATAGACTTGAAAAGAATTCTTCGATCTCTTGAACCATAATAGGACAACCATCTTCATCTTTCCATTGTTTTTGAGAGGAAAACAACCAGAAGCAGATCTAGATGTCAGAATGATTGATTCAGAATACGGTATTGCAACTGAAAACTAGGAGAAAAAAAAAGGTTGGCAAGACATGGAGTTGTGTTGCATGGCGGTGGAAAAGATTTGTGAAGATGGTGGCACCCGAGGGAATGATATCTATTTCTATATACAGAATAAGCTTTGCATAGGAATGTTTAACCTTGAGTGTAACATTCACAGGGACTGTTAGACACAATACTGTGCTCACAGTCCTAGGCATTTTCAGAAGGAGCAAGAGGGGTATAAATGGGAAAAAAATGTATCACATTATTGTAGAACAAACCATGCAGCTTATGAATATACATCCAACATCAAGGCACAATTATAAAGGGGGGGTCATGACATTTCAATGCACATTTGGTAATAATTTTGTCATCCCAATTTGTATTGGCACATCTACTCATAGCATCTTGGTTCTCTGTGTATTGCAACACACATCCAATAGTGGACTTTGTGGATAATAATAGGGTAACTACAGGGCAGTTTTCCATTTCACAACTAGAAAAATCTGTTGTGCCTTCTCCCTAGTTTTGGTCAGAGGGATCTAAACAGCGGAAAAGCTATAGTGGCCTTATATATACATTATTTTATTTGTGTGGGTTCCTTAGCTGTAGCCCATGGACCGCTGCAGTCAAATGGGGGTTGTTTCTGGAAGTTCCCAGGGTTTAAATAATGTAATGTTAATAACAATAAACAGCACATCCCAGACTTAAAGCCACAATTGAGCCCCAAGTTTCCATTGCTAAGCAAGACAGTTGTTAAGTGAGTTTTGCCCCATTTCATGATCTTTCTTGCTACATTTTTAAGTGAATCACTGCAGTTGTTAAGTTAGTAACATGGTTGTTAAGTGAACCTGGTTTCCCCATTGACTTTGCTTGTCAAGGTGATCACATGACCTTAGGACACTGCAACTGTCATAAATATGAGACCAGTTGTCAAGCATCCAAATTTTGATCATGTGACTGGAGATGGTGCAATGGTTGTAAGTGTGAAAAACAGTCATAAGCAACTTTTTTCATGCCATTGTATCTTTGAATAATCACTCAACAAATGGTTGTAAATCGAGAACTATCTGGTAGTACTTTTATGGATCAATTCACCATTACATTATTATTTAAAATATGACTTCATTCAAAACAAGAATATGACATTTTATCTATTTTAATAGTGATGCTATTAGGGGATGTTAATATGATCTGACACTACACATTTGTTGGTTGA